TGCAGGCAGTGGGCAGAGTTTGCCTGTCATACTGCATTCTAACCACTGGGCCACCAGGCAGGTTGCTGAGATCCTGACATGGGATCACATGACTATGGGGGGCGGGGGAGCAGGACCAGCCATTGGAACTTCAGGCTGTAAGTATGCTATTGTAAATCAAGGAGTTATCTGTACCGGTAGTCCTCAATTTACGACCACAAATTTTCCTTGCCAAGGAAGGCAGTTTTTAAGTGAGTTTTACTCCATTTCACAACCTCCCCCCCCCCCGCCAAAGCTGTGAAGTGAATCACAGTCATTGAGTGAATTGTGCCGTTATTTTAAGCAAATCTGGCTTCCCCATTGACTTTGCTTGTCGGAAGCCAGCTGGGAAGGTTACAAATGGTGACACACACACACCCCGGCCGCAGGACAGTGCAACTGTCATAAGTACATGCCAGTTGCCAAGTGCCCGAATTTTGATCCCGTGACCATGAGGATGGGCAACGGTTGCGAGTGGGAGAAACGGTTAACTTTTTTTCAATGCTGTTGTAACTTCAAATGGTCACTGAGCAAGTGGTTGTAAGTCAAGGTCCATCTGTAACAAATGAAGCCTCAGTTTGTTGCATCATCAGTGCTCCAGTGGTGGATTCCGACCAGTTTGGACCGGTTCGGCCGAACCAGTAGTGGTTTGGCAGCCTGAGTCGCTGGAACTGGCAGAGACCCAGGCCTACCACTCCACCGAACAGATTCTCTGAGTGACACCATAGGCGCCGCCATCTTGTTTTCCGGTTCTGGTCTCCCCAAAAACTAATGTGTGTCTTATACTCCGGAGCATCTTATACTCCAAAAAATATGGTAAGTCTAAGTGCTATTGTTATCTTTTGGACACAAACATCCTTAAATAAAATTTTGATTAGAATCAATAAAGACTAATTCTTATAAACATATTATGACTAAGATATAGTTTAAACTAATTCTTTCAGCTATCTGACTAATGCCTAATCCTACTGCCAACAGCTCTCCAAATTTTCCTAAAACTGTTTTTTAGATCACTTACTATATGATATTTTTAAAAGTAATATCAGATACTGAATTTGTGGTTTTTAGCAATAAGGCGTGAATTCTGCCACTGAAGAAGAGACTTTTCTGCAATTAATCCAGTCCTGTATTGGTCTGCACCTCCAGAATTCTGGGCCATCAAGGCCAATAGTATAGAATTTTGGAAGTGTTGGACCTAACATACCCATTTACAACAGTGAGATGGGAGGAGTAAGAATTTAATTAATAAATAAATAGCATGGTCTATAGGCTGTAAATAGAAAATATTACTCTGCTCTCTCATTGCATCATAAATTTAATCTAGCGCTTTCAGACAATCACCCACTTTTAAGAGTTGCAACTATGCTTATAACCAAATAAGCTATAATAAGACTATATAATATAGTCCCGGATATCTCCGAGACCATTTTCTGTCGCACACCTCCCAATGACCGATAAGATCACACAGGGTGGACCTTCTCCAGGTGCCATCAGCCAGACAATGTCGGCTGGCGGCGCCCCGGGGGAGGGCCTTTTCTGTAGCTGCTCCGGCCCTATGGAATGAACAACCCCCAGAGATCCGGACCTTACCCACTCTCATGGCCTTCCGAAAGGCTATCAAAACCTGGCTATTCCGGCAGGCCTGGGGCTGTTGACCTCTTAACCGAGGTCCAGCCCTGATTAGACTGGGTGCATGATGTGCTTCTTTTAATCTGCTTTCTTCTGTTTGTTTTTAATCCTTTTTAAAAAAATTATTTTCTGTAAGCCGCCCGGAGTCCTTCGGGATTGGGCGGCCTATAAATTTAATAAATCCAATCCAATCCAATCCAATCCAATCCAATCCAATCCAATCCAATCCAATCCAATCCAATCCAATCCAATCCAATCCAATCCAATCCGATACATGCC